CCTTTACGATCTGGCTTCTGGTACCTGGTGTGAATTTAGAGGCTCGTTCTTATTGGGTAAAGCTAATACGTGAAGTTTAATGCGGTGTATTTTTGCATGTGAGTCTGGCTAAAAGCTGGGGAAGAGTTTGTACACACGTCAGAGTGCATCACTCTACGCTTTTCTTTTCTTTTTTCCATCCAATGGATTCAATATTATGTTTCGAACCAATAAGGGGTTTCAATTATTGGGAAAGAAACAGAGAGATACCAGCTAAGGTAGAGGAGGATCTTGACCATGTACCACTTGCGGCCATGCATGTACTGGATCCAATAGGGAGTCATATTATGCCCAATGGCATCATCAAATGGAACAATATTCCGAATTGACAAATTATTTGTCCTACAAGTTAGCTCTTTGCGTGCCACTATGTTCGAAGAAGGAGGTCGCGTGCAACTCCACTGGAAAGGCATGCATGCAAGCCACTGTTCCAGAACAAAGGTTGACCGATGCCGGCCATGTCAGAAGGATAGGAAGCTAGAAGCCTCGATAGGTTCCAGGCTGAGACAATGGTTATGTTTGTCTGCACCTTGTCGTGAAATTTGGACATGGGATAACTGCCAGGCGTAATGTTAAGAGAATGGTGGTTGAGCTGTTCTTCTGAGAACGAACACCTGCTGCAAAGCATGATTTGGGTGGTACAGATCAAATGACTGACGACCCCTGCCAGGCTGAGCATCCAATGTCGTACAGTTCCAGCAAAAGAGTTCATTGGTACCTCATTCACGGCGTTGCGGAGAAAGTTGTATGGTGGGAGGACCGAGTTTCTTCTACAGCTGCAATACACATACGGAACACAATACTAAGAACAACAGAACGGGATGTTCGGATTATGATATGGCGGTATGCAATCACTATCCCTGTCTGGCAATACTTTCAGTCTCTTTTATCTCTCATATACCCCCATGGGGGTTCTTGAATGGCGGAACGGACGAGTTCCAGATGCCCTGACCACTCACTATTTGACTCCAGAGTACATGAGAATTGGCGGGGGTAGGTACCAGTCACGCATATGTATAACTTGGGCTATTCGAGTTGATGTCGAGATCAATCATACTCGAACGATATTATGAGGCACTCTTAGATACAGCAGAAGATAACAGATTTCAAGCAGATAAATTGATACTTCATTAACTGTAAGTAAAGAATAGATATATCTTATTGGGACAGTAAAGTACCAGACGTCAGTTGTGCCTTACTGTTTTTAGTAAGTTTGCCATGTGAGAATGTCAACCTGGCAAGTGCAGCCATGTCATCATCTTTTGGTTGCTGGAGGGTTCCCCGATCACCTCATTTACCTTAATTCATCCATTTACAAGCTCAACTTTGACAATGAGCGCAACTGTTACTTTCTGATTTGGTCATAAACCCAGCCTCGCCAGCACTTGACTCTTTTCCACAAATTTGTATCTGTTCACTACCTACAAAAACATTCAACCTCTCCCACAATGGGTCTGTGATCTTCTTCCACTCCCCATCATCTCCACTCCTCCACCCGGGGACTGCCCGTCAGTTACGACCACCGCGCGCCATCCTCGACTATTATTTCGTCGATTGTCGCTTGGCTTTTGTTCTTCTGGGGATTTTCCTTCATCAACATTATCTCCTCGGAGACAAATACCAGCTACCTTCACTGTCGAGCGCCTAACAGTAAATATCGTCTGCTCAAAAAAAATTTATACTGCCTCCGACACCGGCAGACCGTCTGTTTACTTGGAGATCCCTACCCTGTCATCCGGCTTCTGAGCACTGAATACTGAGCCTGAGCCGCTTGCTTCAGTACAGCGCAGTGACGTCGGTTTGTCCCTGTCCGACTCTCCTGTGCGTCAACTTCGGCCCTGAATCCCTGTTGGTCCGCCAAAACGTTTATCTGGACGCAGCCATCCAAGTTCCCCAATTCCGTCAATAATAGCATCGGCTACAGCGTTCACGACTTTGCTTTGCATTGCATTACCGTGCCGTACCGGACACTGCTTGCTTGCTTGCTAGGCTCGGCTAGCCAACTCTTGCAGCACGGTTCGACACTTGAACGACCTATTTCCAATCACACCTCCGCCAAATCCACAAGCTCCCCACCCCACACACTGCCGTTGCTGCGCTCCAAGAAGCCGGGCTGCCATTGACAGAGCCCGAGTTTTAAAAAATTCACAATAGGTCGTTAACACAGATTTAACTTGCAACCTTTCAACCCTACCTCAATTTCGATTTCGACTGACTTCGGTCTTACTCCGACCTGTTTCGGATTGTCTCAGGTCTTCTTCATCTCTGCCTTGTCTCATCAACCGCAGTCGAAACTTCATTCCACCGCTTAGAAGCTCTTGACTCGTTCTCGTTTCCCCCTCAGGAAAAAAAAAAACTACGTACTCACCCCTCCGATTCGGGACCCCTCCACATCCGTTTTCCGCTTCCGTCCTTCGCCGCATCAAAACTTTTTGCTCTCCTAGCCGACAGCAACCTTCACCTCTACCACAAACCGACACAACTTCACCTTCACCATGGTGCGCAACATTGTTGTTCTGGGAGGTAACTCCCACCCGCAACTCACAGAAAATGTCTGCCAAATTCTGGGTGTTCCGGCAAGCAATCGCATTCTTGGAAAATTCTCTGGCGGCGAGAGCCGTTGCGAAATCAAGGACTCAGTTCGCGGCAAAGATGTCTACATTATACAATCTGGCTCCGGCAATGTGAACGACAACCTTATCGATCTCTGTATCATGATCTCAGCCTGCAAGACTGGCTCTGCGAAACGAGTCACCGCCGTTGTCCCACTCTTCCCTTATTCGCGACAACCCGACTGGCCCTATAACAAAGCCGGCGCACCTTTGTCGCAGATCTCTGGTTCTTCCAAAGACTACACATTTGAGAGTGTTCCTCCCACACCTCGTCCAGGTGGCCCTAAGTCAGCTGGCCTGCCCAATGGTGTCAACAACTTGACCGAGAAGCTCTCAAAAACAGCTCTCGCAAACGAGGGCGCGACAAATGGTGCTAACAGCACTAATGGCGTTTTCAGCACTCCTCGCCGCTCAGACACCATCTCGAGCAGCACCTCTGAGGCTCGTGGACACCACGCAGAGAACTCGACTTCTTCCCAGAGGAATGCGTATACCACACACGACTATGAGAACCAGTCCAACATCTCTGCTTTCCAGCCTAAGCCTGGCTACAAGCAGTGGATCGCCCAAGCCGGTACTCTTGTTGCCGACTTGCTCACCTGTGCCGGTGCCGATCATATTATCACGATGGATTTGCACGATCCTCAGTATCAGGGCTTCTTCGACATTCCTGTTGATAACCTGTATGGAAAGGCGCTACTCCAGAACTACATCCAATCTCAAATCCCTAATTACCACACCGCTGTCATTGTGTCTCCCGATGCTGGAGGTGCAAAGCGAGCTACTTTGATTGCGGACAGTCTCAAGACTGACTTTGCTCTGATTCACAAGGTAATACCACAGAATTCTGATTTTGCTGCTTTTGAAAACTCATGTCTTGCTACAAAGGAGCGACGGCCCATTCGATTTACCGAGCATCGCAACGCCAGTATGATGCTAGTTGGAGATGTGTCAAACCGCATCTGCATTCTAGTTGACGACATTGTCGATACTGGTAACACGATCACGCGTGCTGCGAAGCTTCTGAAGAAGGAGGGCGCTACTCAAGTCTATGCCCTCGTCACCCATGGTGTCTTCAGTGGCGACGCTATCGCTCGCATCAATGCTTCTGCCATTGACAAGATGCTTGTTACCAACTCTGTTCCTCAAAACGAGCATCGTCGTCTGTGCCCTAAGCTTGAGATACTCGATATCTCGGCCGTTTTCGCTGAGGCTATCCGTCGTGTTCATCATGGCGAGTCTATCAGTGTCCTTTTCCAGCACAACTAGAGTGCTGGAAGCGCACTTACGGTTTGTCAACAGGATTTCATCTACTCAAATCATATGAGGGCTCGTTTCCTCATGAATAGCACCACTTCGAGATTACTGGGTACCCCTTTTCTCACGGGGCATATCCCTCTGCCACGGATGTCGCAAAGTTTATCCCGAGTTGCGGCACGATGAAATGATATGGGATATTTTTGTTTTGGAGTTTTACCGGGGAGCTTCTGCATCATACTGCATCCGCCGTCCGCCAGATTTGGTTTGCTGGCGTTCTTTTTTCTAAAAATTTCCCATTTGCACTCATCAAACATAACATCGATAAGGTACTTGGACCGGCACACGATAGTGTGCGATGAAGATTATGGGAGGGAGGGATTTGGTTGAACGACTGCAGCGCGGGTTGGGGCACGGGTTTACTTGCTTTCTGCTATGCTGCACAATTTCACCTATTCCTTAGCCTGGACTATTGTGTTCTCCTTTCCTGGGACCTAATTCTTCTCTTTGCTCTACACAATCTTTCCTAAACATATGTCTTGGGGTAATACCTGTATTTCCTCCCTCTCGAGGTTGGAAAAAGAGTGGTATGTTTGGAGATATAAACCAAAGGACATTTCTCGGAGATTCGGTTCTCTCATCCCCGTCCTGCAAATGCATCGAAGTAAAATCAAAACGTAGAGATTTGGATCAACCAAAAGTAGACAGGTGCTGGCCTAGTTGCTGTGCTGTGACGGGAGACTAGGTCGGCGGTTCAGTTAGCCTTGCAAATGGCGATGCTGTCAAAAAGTTCAAGAATTAATAATAAAAATGTTAAACATGTCACTACGCTGTTCCGGAATGTTGATTGTAAGACGAAAACTAGATAGTCCATCACCTCAGGCCAAGTGAACAAGTATGGTTAGGGAGGGAAATATCATGATAGAAAGGTCTTTATTATTACCTATAATCTACTTTCTGGGTGTTCTGGGTCTAGTTCTCGGCCAACTTCACTATCGAGAATTTGAAAATACTCATAACTCATCGCTCGTGTCAAGGCGAGCACACAGTTTCTATACCTATCAGAATAGGCTTACCAGTTTGTTGGTTCTATTAGTCCTCCGTGACGTTACTCATGGATTGCAACATCTGTAGATCAGATGGGACCTGCCATCCATGAGATGAAGCCGCCCGTCGGTACGCATCTACAGCCTCGAACATGCTGTAGTCCATGTTCCTCGAACTGCTAATACCACTGTAACCATTGGCTCTTCTGAGACGAGCTGGGGGATCCTTTTCGCAGAGATTCATTCTGACTTCAAGGAACACCTTTTCCAATGAAAGAGCTGGGGACCAACCTGAGTTTGTGAGCAACTTTGAGCATATAGCGCCGCCAATGGTGACGTGACCTCCACCACCTTGAGCAAAAGGCAAAAAGCGAGGTCTGACCACACGAACGAAAGGGGGCGAGATCGGAAAGGAAGCACCAAATCGAAGCTCAAGCACGATACTCGAGCATCCATGGCTGGCCATGTCTTTGGCAAGTGGCAAATCCGTGTCGAAACTGTGAAGCTCAACGAACCAATGGAAGAGGTTATCCAGTTTGTCAAAGTCGATGTACCATCCCAGAGAGGCTAAGTTGGTTTTGGACTGGGTCTTTTGTAGGTCTTTGATTTGGCCGTTGAGTGCGCGGAGAGCAGCTGGTGATGATGATGCCCACGTAGGCTCGGAGAGCTTAGGTAGAGAATCAATGTCAAGTTGACCTGGTTTAAATGGTGTTACATCGTCAGGTCCACGTTGTGTTTCGCCCAGACCCGAGTCTATAGACGTCCGCCGTCTTTTTCGTGTTCCCGTGAACTGCAGGTCATCACCTTCATCATCCGAGGCTAGTAGAACATCGATATCGTCGCTGGTTTCAGGGTTTTCCATTGAGGTTGAATCGTCGAGATTAGCGCTTCCATTTGAATCCGAATCATCGAGAACGATAGGATGGTCTATGGATGAGCCCGTGTCATTCCGCTGGCCTTGCCTGAATGCACGTCGACGAGACTTTGGTATGGCGTTTAGAGGAATATGAATTCGTTGCTGCGATCCGGAAGTCAATTGATAAGCAGGGTCTTGTTCGACATACTCCGAATCCTGCACCTTATTAGGAAATGGTCCTTCATAGGACAGGGGGGCTGCGGATTCTGGTTGACGTGCTTGGACTTGAACAAAGAGATAGCGGCACTGTATCCAATCGATCCTGTTGACGACGAAAAAGGGATCTGTCGACACAAATTGAGCTGGATTATTGGCGATCTCACACAAGCTGATGGCACTCGCGACATTCAGTGCTGAGCTTGGCCATCCTTTCCCCGTATCACGGTTGGAGTATCCGCGACTAGTCTCGAAATCTCTTGCCAAATAAACGCCGTTGCCATAGGCACGGCCATGAAGCGTGTTCGAAAAGTCAAGGCCGGTTCGAATGATACTATGCCAGTTGGAAAGAGGGCTTCCATGCCACGCGAAAAGTGTTGGGTAGTTTTTCCCGTTTTGAGATCTCGGTATTTTCTGCAGCTCATTGAAAAAAATGAGTTCCTTTTCAGGAGAGCCCTGAGCAAAACGAAACTGCATCCAGTTGCGTTTCATGCCACAGACAAGGTTTCCATTCTGCGTTTGTTCCTCTGTTGTAGAAGATCCAGGAACTGGGCTATCCTGTACAATATGTGATCTATTCGAGGAAACGATCCAGTTCAGCAGACGGAGTGTTGACCCATCCATTCCTCTCCAACCAGATAGTCGGCGCCCGGGCACCTCTGTTAGGTATTGCCTCATTGTTTGCACGGGTGGAATGCAACTGGTCATGAAGTTGAGCGCTTCGTCACGGGCCCCATCTTCGAGTTCGTCGATGTCTTGCCCATACTTGAAAACCAACACTTTTACCCCGCCTGGGGTAGGTTGGGTAATCTGGTTCACGGAATTCTCTGGGGCTTCCTGTCCTATATTGTCAAGACTCGTGAATGTATGCATGACCTTGAACGTCAAGTCGGTGTCGATGCACGATTCGATGTAGCAGATATGTTTCTCGCGATCTACACATTTGGTTAGCTTTCTTGTCCATGCTTATATTTCACACGGTTTTGCATGCTTTAGGTTTCACTTACATGTTCTTATGGCTGGTGTATGCGAATCCGGTGTGTTCACTCCAGGAACGAAAAGCAGTAACCAATGGCCCGCTTTGATAGTTCTGCATGTAGTAAGGTCTTTGGTTTCAAACCTCAACATGCCAGCTTTGAAGTAAGCATCAGCTCTGATCGGGGTAGAAGCACTCGTTGTAAACGCTGACGAGGGACACTTGAGACCTAGTCCTCTGGGGAACTCGCGGAGACGGGAACGGGTGACAGCAGCATAGAAGAAGCTCACAAGAAGGTCGACCACGTATGGATTGTTGATAATCTCGTGTTCGATGCTCTGGCCGAAACCAAGGGAAAAATACTGGTAGAGACAAAGCTCATTCTCACAAACAAAAGGTTTTACGGCCTCAAACCCTCCTTTTGCTCTTCGATGGCAAACCAGACAGTACTTGGTGCATTTGATCAATCTCTGGAGGCCGAATTGCATCGCAATAAGAACAATGTTGAGCTCGTCTGCATTTCTTGATAGGTAATCATGCCGAAGGAACTCAAGCTCAAACCAATCGTCAGACGAGTCTCGGTCCTGACAGACATCCATATCTTGAGCGTGATTTGAAATGTCTCTAAAATGGCGACCTAGGCTCAAGTTGTATTCCAGTTCCCGTGCTTCATCCCATGATATCCCTTCCGATCGTCGCAGCCGTAAAAGGGTTGGAAATAAACGGTTAAGAAGTGCGTCAAGTGACAACGACATATAAAGCGGAATGAAGGAACCCGTGCTCTCTTCGTCTCTGTTTGTTTGCATTGCTGGATCGTCCACTCCTGCCAGCATCTGCCTCATGGACTTGTAACTTGGCCGCGGACTACTGCATTTACCGAATCTGAAGTGCATTCGGGTTTGGTCGGGAGGAAGACGCTGGAAATCCAATACATGAGGATAAGTTGATGGTAGCTTGCAAAGCATGACGATGTATTCGGTAGGCTCAAGGCCCCAAGCTTCCAAGGCTTCTTCGGAAATCCCAAGTTTGCATACTCGAATAGAGAGCGAGAAGAAGCCGAAAGACGATCGTCGTATTTCTTCAGGCGGGATGGAGATGCAGAAACCCTCTTGTTTGGCTTCTCGTAAGTGACGCTTCAGACGTGCCATTGAGTCTGGATCATCGGTTGCAGTGGTGTTCTCCAGGACAGATCCGCCAGGTAGTAACGGGTCAAGATCTATCTCATCGAACTCGGCTTCGAAGAAGGAGTCTTCGTCATCGGAGAGTAGATCAACATCCGATTCTTCGCCATAATAGGTCGGCGTCTGTGAAGTTGACTGATCTGAAGGGCTCAGCTTTGTCGATAACATGCTGGAAATCAATGTGACGGCATCCGCGATACTCTTGCCATCAGTCAAGCTGGAGGTCTCTTCCAGCCACTTCTCTAGGTCTGTGGGTGTTTCCGAGGAAGTGAAGACCATAAAGCCTGGGTGGTTTGGATACGAGTCCGCATCTCTTGATAGGGCCTGAACATCGATTGGGGGTAATTCGGCTTCGTTTTCTGCTTCGTGAGTATAAGTGAAAGCGATCTCTCCATCGGAGTCGCCCTTGCGTAGATTTGATACATTAGGGAAGCTATCAAGAGCTTCTATCGCGACCCTTAGGTCAAGATTGAATTGCCTGAGACCCATGGTCCCTTGTTCTGTCGAGAGGGGGGAAGATGGGAAGATGTCGGGAAGATGAAGAGCGGAGTTTCAGGAATTTTGAAAAAGTTGACCTTGTCGATTTGAAAGACTCTGACATGGAAAGTTTGTTTATTAAATGTCCCAGTCATAATTGACTGGAAGTCAAAGTCTGTGTCACGTAAGTACCTTGTCTCGAGAGTGTGAAAGAGAAGGGGTAATAGGGCTGCTGCTGCCTGCCACTGTCACTGCCACCTTAGTCATTCAAAGGCTCTGATGGGAGAGGGCCAATGAAAGGCGATTCTTCTGCTCAAAGGATTGGTCAAATCATAGTGATACAAAGAGCGTTTCTTGGATAAATTTACTTAATTTATTCCCGTCTTTATATGAACATATTGTTTGATACTGCAGCATGGTATTAATACATTGATCAATTATATGGACCTCAGCCTAGTTTAGACAGGTAGCTAAGATCCCCCCCTGCTCAGCCCTACCAATGACGTCTGGAGAAGTGGACATTTATGGCAATGACTTTGAACTATGCTGGCAGATCAGATACGACACTCACAAAGGATCATAGCATGGAGACTGTGATAATATCACATAGTCTGGGTGAATCTTTGTGAACAAGGTGAATGTACATGTGAAAGAAGTGTCCTTTCGACCATTTATCTTTGTTACTTTACGTCCACCTTTCTTTAAATCTTGGCTTGAAACTGGAGCAGAGGGAGGGCTGTAGGTAGAAAGTGGAGAGTTACTGTAAAGCTTCGGTGGGTCCGAATAGAACCCACTCCAGCTTGACCAAGCTCTTGAAACAAAAGGCAGAGATAGGTACTCAACCTCGTGACAAAGACAACAAGAGTCCATGGCAGTCAAATACTAATAGCCTGCGGAACAATTGTATCTACTAATACTTGTTTATGCTTGCAAAGAAGTAAAGGTCAAGAATACTTGGAGTTCTATTCCCAGCGTTTTCTTCTTTCACCACAATACCCCTGGGATAGGTGGCGACCTGGTGACTTTGTCTCTGGGTGAATGGTTACTTTATACAATCTTGAAAAGGTATACAAATCTATTGTGCAGATCGATTGGCAACAAATCTTGACGCCTTCGCTAATTCACTCAGTGCTATTGATTAGACTGTGCCATGTCTTATCGCGTGACTCTCGCTCGTCTCACCTACGGACCCTTGTCAACCCCTGCCAGAACTTAATGGCTGCCTCTGTCAGCAATTCTCGTATTTGACCTCCCCTTCCCCTCCCTCATTTTGCGACAACAAACAACTCTACTCTACTTTATCCTCTACACAGTCGCATGTGCATGTTGTGTCCTCTCGCTTCCTAGAAAATCATCGAAATGCTTCTTTGACCGTGAGAATCGGCGCGTCTCGACCAATTCAAGTTCGCTGCCCTTCGTTTCATCGTGCATCAACAGCAACGCAACATAACAGATTCATCCGTGATAGCCGACGGCCTCATTATCCAATTGACCCAATGGCGATAAACATATTCTACGGCAGACAACGCCGCTTCGTATCCCGTCGTTTGACCTATCTCGTTCTCGTTCTCATCGTCTTCGCCTATTCAACCTTGACCATACTGTCTCCAAATGCCGCCCAAACCGATGTTGCCGAAGATGCCGCAAAAGCAGACGCTTCAAGCAAGATCAAGACCTCTGTCGATGGTATCCGTCACTCGCTTAAGAAAGGCGTGACAGAGCTGAATCCGTTTCGTGGTCCTGCCCATCCACCACCGACTCGAGCACAAGATTCATACCAAGGTACTTCTTGGTGGGCTGATTGGAAGTGGTTATCTGTGCCATTCTCCAGCTCGCTTACCCTTGACGAGGACAGAGCGCTGCTTCCCCCGCTCCAGGATCGCCCATTCATTTATTGCTACTACGATGCGACGGTTAAGAAATCGAGGGAAGAAAAAGATGCTGACAGCGATCTTCTTCTAACGTGGCGTCGCGCTTGGTGGGCTCAAGGTTTCCGACCAACCATTTTGGGATCGTCTGAAGCGACTGGAAATCCGATGTACCAGCAACTTCAACGGCTCGAGGTTCAGCCCGAACTAAAAGCCGACCTCATGAGATGGCTCGCTTGGCAATCAATGGGAACTGGCCTGCTGGTGGATCATACGCTGTTTCCAATTGCACACACTGAGGATCCTCTCTTAGTTTTCCTCCGAAGGGGAGAGTATCCTGCCATGACCAGGTGGAAAGGTCTGGAAAGTGCACTCTTTGTAGGTCCCAAGGAAGAAGTCACCAAGACCATCCGAAAATTGATGGACTCGCCCACACTGAAAGCTGCTAAAAGTGTGATTGATGCATCAACAAAGAATGACTTCAAGGTCGACAAAGCGCAAACTGCACTAGTGCATTATAGCCCAGAGATCATCAAAAAGCAATACCCCAAGGTCCACGACAGTCTCACTAATGGAAGGGCAAGAGGTTTGGGGGCTCTCAACCGGCTTATCAACGCCCATCTTCACGCTGTATGGCAGAGTAGCTTCCCTGGAGGCATTGAGGTCCTCAAGCCCTTTCCTGAGCACACTACCGAGATGATCACCCCAGCCTTGAAGCTTGCCGACTCCCTAGCCTTCTGCCCAGACAACCCCATCCCGTCATCATGCCCTCCTGGCATTTCAAGTTGCGCACACTGTGCCGCTGGCACCACATCTATGAAGGTCACTACTCCTGAGCAGTATCAGAATACGAGCGGTGCATTTGCGATTGGGACAGTTCCTCATCCTTGGACACTTGCGACTTTGACAAGCCTCAAGGAGAGGGTGGATGTTAGTTGGATCCGCAAAGAAGCACCTCGAGACCCTTGGCTCGAGACTATTACCAAAGGACTTCTGGGCTCCAAGGTCTCCAGTTATTCCCGAATTATGCACTTCAAACAGGCTGTGGCCGATGAACACGCCCCTACTCATGCACTCTGGCTGTCAGCTGAAGCTGATATCCCCCCAGATCTGGACTGGTACTTTGGATTCCGCATTCCCAAGGGCTTGGGAGAGACATATATGGCTACGAGCAACAAAATCGAGCAAGGGCCCATGTCAGGAAAGGCCAAGGCTGATAAACCAGCAAAGGCGGAGCGTGCTGCGATACCTGATAGCGACACAAGGCCTGAGAAGCCTCAGCCTCGACCAGACGATACTCCAAAGGAGAAAGAACTCACGCCAAAAGAAATACAGGCCAAAGAAAAGGCCCTTTTGGAGCACGCCAAGAAGATTGTTGCCTTCAAGAAATCGACCGTTGACACTCGACTACGGGCATCACTCGAAGCTTGGAACTTGGCAGACACAGAAGCCTGGAAGTTCGCGCGCGCTTTCCTCGCACGTCGCAGCATGGAACGTATTGAGTGGGAGAAGCAGGAATCCAAGTATAGCGGCGGTGCTGGCTCTGAAAAGGGCCGTAATGCTTGGAGTCGCTGGAAGGATTCGAAAGAACGAGAGTAAAAGTTGTCCATCCTCGCGATTCGACACCACACAACATTCTCGACAATATTTCTGGTTCGCGGCGACTGGTCTCAGGCGTTTTGGGCGTATATATAACAGGATAATGATAATGACAATTGAGCAGTGGTGTCTTGACGGGATGCTGAAGAGAGAGGCTTATCGTTTGAGCGTAGTGGAGATGACCAGAGACTTTGGCAAATTAGGAGACTCAGTCATGAATTCAAGAACGAAGCTTTCACACCACGAAATGAGACTCAGCACGCCGATCATAAAACGAGTGTGTCTGTGAACTAACTACCTAATCTGATACCGATGGGTTCTTCAACAGCAGCAACATTTTCCAGTCGCCGCCATCGAATAACCTGGGCCTCTAAACGCGGACAGTATCACCACCCATCTCACCGCTCAGCTCACGAGAGGTCGGGCCGCGATGCTCCAACACAGCTGCCTTTCCAAGAGTTCCGTTGGTGTGCTTGGAAGGAAAAGTACCATTTCCGTTCTGAGCGTGCGCGTTGCTCGTGTAAGAACGAAGAGCAAGACGAGCTGATTCGAGGACCTTCTCGGCGTGGACAACGGCATCGCGAAGAGCGTTGGCAGTGGGATCCTTGGAGCGGGCGAGTTGCTCGGCGCGGAGCTGGATGATATGACCGTTGAGCCAGATGCCGTCAAGCTGGGCTTGGGTCATGTCGCGAGCACCGGAGATGCGGCCGCGGCAAGAGGGGGTGCCGCAGAGGCAGTCGAAGGGCTGGGCCATGTGCCATTCGGTGGAGGGATAGAAGAACTAGACGTCTCATAAGCTATTGGACATGAGATTTGAGGGGTGAGAATAACGAACTGTAAGCTCATCGCCAACCTTAAGACCCTTGGGTCCAACAAGAATGTTCAAGTTTCCTACATCAAAGAGCTACACCCTCACGTTAACCAAATGATCCCTTAGAATAGGGAGGGGGGTTTTTCAACATCCGGGGCTTCTCCTTCAAGTAGGTCAACTAACGAGAGTAGGTTCGCAAGAATGGTTAATGTACAGCAAGTCGCTGTTCAGGTTGAGATGAGTATCACGACCGGTCTGAACGGTAGCGTAGGTCGGTTCGCTGGCGGGAGTGCAGGGAGGGAAGTCAAACTTTGCAAAGACAGCAAATGGTGGGAGAGAAACGCGCGAGATGCTCTTGGTGGTGAATTCCTCGGGGTTCACGATGACAACTTCTTGGATGTCGGGGTGAGAGGGCTGATGCCAGTGGGGAGTGAGAGGAGCCATTGTTGGTGGTTTGGTAGTAGCGGATGAAGCTTGAATATGAGTTCGATATCTGAGACTATGAGTTAGAATGAGAGCTGAAGGATATTTTTGAGAGGATTTACAATTGAAATTATACGATTTCGTTTTAGGACGGTGTTAGAGATCGGCAGTGTAGGTGAGACCTCGGTCTAAGTGGAGCTATGGATGGCTTCTGAAAGATGAATTTCGATCAATTGAATACAAAGGTACAAACGAGAAAGGGAGCACGAGGAAATACAAGCACTCTTATTTAGTTCTCAATAATCTGCCCA